ACAAATATTTCATGAAAGACCCATTTCTTGTGATAGACATAATGTAATCCAGCAATAATAGGCCTCACCAGCATGCATAAAAAGGATCCACCACAAGTGAATTTACTATGCATTTTGATAATAGCAATTTCAATAGCTGTGGTGTTGTATTCTTTCCCAGATGACAGCTATGGTTTATCCACACTCCTGTTACAAAGAGCCTCTCAGTGGTCTGAAAGGACATGTCACAACAGGAACGTAAAGTATCCAACAATCACTGTCATCTCGGCCACACCGTGTGGGGTGTCAGTCTGAGTCATTCCTGTCTCGAAGAGATAGGTACAGGTAAATTCTGTCCAATAGTAAAATTTTATGACTAGCAAATACAGCAAGGAAACATCTTGTGGATACATATTCCTACCTGTAGGATTTTGGGTACAGGATTTTGATTGGTGACAGGTGTGACAGTGACTGATACATCCTTCTCACAACAATGGCACACAAAAGCCTTTCTTCTCATCAATGAACACAGAGCACAGCTTTAATCATGTTGACAATGCCGGTCATAACCCTCATGAATTGATTATGTGTCCATGGATACATGTATGTCATCTCCAGTTGGTATTGAAGTATGGTTGAGTGTCTTGACAATCCTCCACAGCACTGTTAGAATTCTTTTGGACCAGGATCATTACAGCCAAGATAGATTCCTGACTTGGACTTTACTGTTGGAATTGTTTACAAAGGGATAATGTGTGTGTGTATATACAGCTGCAAGTAAGGCCTCATCTTTGCTTTGGTTACTACTTATTTTACCTTAAATACATCATAAATAATCTCTGTCACAAGGGGCAGTTTTCAGTGTTGGGTTTCTTTGGACGGCTCCTCATGGTTTGCAACGTTTTCACATCAAAACTACACTGCTGACAGCATCCATGCCTCTTGACAGGAGAAGAGGAACACGTGAATGTTTATACCTGAAAAGTTGACCAGCTGCTCTTTGTTTAGTCTCCTGACTTTCTGATCACACAAGTGAAGCCTTCTGAAGGTACCTCCTGTCTCTAGACTTACTTGGACTCAAGCCCTCCCATCCCAAACAATTTACCAACGTTTTAAGTACATTTGAATGCAGTAGGATCGTTGTCTCAGTCCAAATTGATAAGCATTGTGAGTAGGAACGGTGTCTAACAGAAAGAACATGGAGTATATTTGATGACCGCTGTCAGAAGTACCATGGCCACACCAGACTTTGATAATGACCTGGGAGACTCGGACGACTACGAAACGGACCTGGAACTGGAAGGTAAAATATAACATAACTATTGCTTGCTGAAAGATTCTACTGAATCATTGTACTCAACATAACTAGTTTGTGGATTTTATTCCTCTTTTTGTGTAGTTGTGATATCTACAGAAATCACTCTAGTTAGAAGAAGCTTCTAAAATTTAATAACCACTTGTTTGTTGCCATGCATCAATTTTTTATTTTGAATACTAGTACAACATTGGTCAAAGAACAACTAAAAAATTTCATTGCTGATACATCAGTCCTTGACTTAGGTTCGTTTTACTGTCCATCAGAGCCCGAAGTTGTCCAGCAGGAGTATGACCCTGTGAGTGAGATGACCAGACTGTACCGGTCAGTCTGCAGAAGGACAGGAGTGGTCCCAGCGTCCACATTCCTGCGTCACCTCACGGCCAGTGAGCTCAACATGGACCACTATGGGCTGGGTCCTTTGGGGACAAAGTGCATTGCAACTGCCCTCAAGGTATCAATTTCAGTGCTTTTTTACACAATTCTGGGTGAAATAAAAGAGCAAGGATTAGAACAGAGCAGCGAAAAATAAATTGCACACAGAAAATGGAACAGCAATACAATAGAAGCTACCATAATACCATCGATGTTCCACCTACTAGTATTTGACTGTTGCAAGTTCAAGATATCTTCATTTTCAAAACCAGATATTATCCTTTTTTTGCCCCATCTTGCTTTTTGTTGCGGTCTCACATTGAATTTGGGGTCTTCAATGGATGTCATCCATAATTACTTGGTGTGCCTTAAGGTGTTTTAGCAGTTTCACATTAAATATACAAATAGCAGACAGCAAACAACTGGAGTCAACATGTAGTGTTCTATCCGACTAAATTTAATTGAATGACAGTGTGGATAAGAAATAAGTATTAAATACGATGCCCAGACACATCAGTAACCCATCTAACATTGTCGACATACACGCAGATGAGCACCTTCATAGAGACGCTGAGCTTAGAAGACAACTGGATGACTGGTGAGGGAGGGGTGTACATGGCAGACATGCTTAAGGAAAATCCCAGCATCACAGACATTGTAAGTCTTGTGTGTCACGTCTATCATACATGTATTTGCATGTCTGGAACCACACATTTATGCAAACACATTTCGGTGTTTTACCTTGGTAATGCTGATTTTTGTTTTCATCTCATACTTGAGGTGTTGTGACCCCATACTGCCACCAACATTTCTTCCCTGAACTTTGAAAATAACCATGTAATTTGCATATCTAGTTTATGCTATCAATCACAACTTATATTACACATCTTTTCATATCATCATGTGATACTATATTGTGTCTACTTTCCATAGCTTATGTCATACTTATCAATTACTTATTGCCCTAGGAAATTCAATACCTTGAATGACGTTATCAGTATAATTTATCAATGTTCCTCTCTTCCTCCTTTTCATATCAAACTCTATTATAGCATTTCATTTTAGTCAAGCAAATGGCATCCAAATCACCAGTTATTATTAACATTACTGCTGGTATAACACAAATATGTCAGTAATGTCACAACCATTAAAACATCAAAGGATCGAATCAATGCATTCTTAATAATTTTATCATATTACCTTAATCTTGACATAAGTTAGTTCCCTACATGATACCAGAACACTACCGGTATGTACAACACCAGGCTCATGTGGCTCATATGTCTGTGTTTACTAGAATCTGGCCAGCAACAGACTTGGTACTGAAGGCTCAGAGGCAATAGGTGACATGTTACTGGAGAACCGGTCTCTCAGGAGAGTTAATCTGGCAGGTAAAGATGAAGTAATCAGCTTGACAATACATTGTCTCATCAGTAACCTAAGCTTTTTCATTGAACTTCACATTATAACAGTACATGGCTATCCAAATAATATAATAAACATAAGTTCCATGAGTTTGTGATTGTATGAAGAACGAATGTGGTAATTTAAAGGATTATCACTGGAACATTATTATGATGAGTTTCAATTATTACTGACTGTTGTGGGAATCACATGGAGTGATTACTTTGGAGCAGCTAAAATGTTCTTTATTTTGCACAGACAACAAATTCAGTGACAGGGATGCTATGTTCTTTGCCGGTGCTATGCAGGTACATGCTACCATTGTTTTGATTGATCCAACATGCACACATTGAAAATGGTTTAGGCAGGGACACACTCAAGTTTGAAAAAAACTTGATTAATATAGGTGTAGCTTTAAATAAAAAGAGTCCAACGGTATGATTAAAAAGGTACAAAGACTTTATTGACAGACAGAATTGTGGCAAAATATTATAATAAATTTGGAAACAGCGGCAGTCCAAGCTTTCCTTCTCTCGGATAAGGTAATAGTACACAGGTAGGTAGATTAACATTAATGACGGTTGAAAGTGACCCATTTTAGTGATGAAACTCTAATGCATTTTGTTGGAATTTACCTTTGCTAACATTTGCCTTTGATGTATTCCTGCTCCTGTATTGGTTTACATACATCCCATCAAAGGTAATTGCAGATTCTGCACCTGAGACTGTCATGTCTGAAATCAATACACATCTTCCCTGTCCTTCCTGGTCAGAGTAACAGATATCTGGAGGAACTCAACCTGAGTGGAAACGAGTTCAGTGAAGTAGGCGGAGGATTTATGGGAGCTGGGATAGGTAGGTGTCTACAAAAACATGTTTTATATCAGTGACTATCTTGGGATATCATTTGTTCATAACTTGTTCAAACCTGTCAACATTCAATGGACTTGACAGTAAGGAACAGATTCTTCACTGGAATGTGCACCAGTCACAACACTTTTTCATTATGGGAATGTTGCTTAGCATGAAGGATTAAACTGTTTCATTATGTGAATATTGTTCAGCACCAAGGACAGAACTGTTTCATTGAGTGAATATTGTTCAGCACCAAGGACAGAACTGTTTCATTGAGTGAATATTGTTCAGCACCAAGGACAGAACTGTTTCATTGTGTGAATATTGTTCAGCACCAGGGACAGACCTGTTTCATTGAGTGAATATTGTTCAGCACCAAGGACAGAACTGTTTCATTGAGTGAATATTGTTCAGCACCAAGGACAGAACTGTTTCATTGTGTGAATATTGTTCAGCACCAAGGACAGAACTGTTTCATTGAGTGAATGTTGTTCAGCACCAGGGACAGACCTGTTTTATTGAGTGAATGTTGTTCAGCACCAAGGACAGACCTGTTTCATTGTGTGAATGTTGTCCAGCACCAAGGACAGACCTGTTTCATTGAGTGAATGTTGTTCAGCACCAAGGACAGAACTGTTTCATTTTGTAAATGTTGTTCAGCACCAAGGACAGACCTTTTCCTCCGTGTGAATATTGCTTAGCACCGAAGAGATACAAAACTGTTCCGTTGTGTGTTATAATGTTTAAAAGTCATTTTGGTTTCATCCAGGTGCAAATGAGACAATCACTGCCCTGAACCTGAGCTGGAATCACCTGCGGCTGAAGGGTGTGTTTGCTCTGTGCAGGGGACTGAGGGTAGGCATTTCTGTACAGTACTGTGTTAAAAATCTATGTGTACCTATTTGGGAGTCTTCCATTCATCTTTTGACACGCAGTAGACAAGGGGGCTGCTGTGGGCTCTTAACACAACAAGTAACCATATCGATTTTCTAGTAGTAGTCTGGTAAATAGAATTTAAGAATCACTTCCTCACACTGTTAAGTGTCCACACAAAATGATGCCATTGAAAATACATATCTGCCTGTTGTTTGTCAAGAGATGGCAGTGCCAGTTGATGGACATGACCATTTCTTGCATAAAAGACTTAATTTCAAAATGGCATAAAAGTGTTGGTATGGTTTTTGATATTGTTTGCCTCTTTATCTGTCACAATACCTCACAGAAGGCATGCTGGAAATTGATATGCAAAGAAACAAGAAAAACTATCAAACTAATTTTGTATAGAGCAACAACACACTGCAGTGGCTGGACGTGTCATGGAATGGGTTTGATGACGAAGGTGCATCTGGCCTGGCCACCGTGCTGAAGTACAATGAAGTGCTGACTTACCTGGATTTAACCAACAACAGGATTTCAACAAGAGGCGCAATGAAAATGGCTAAGGCACTGTGTATCAACAAAACCCTACATACCCTTAAAGTAAGTCAATGTGGTCAGTCTATCAGTCTGGCCCAACTACAGTATGCAAACAAGTCTCAAAGTCCAGAAGTTACATGTACCTGTGCCATAATTTTGTTCCTCCCAGTGTTTTATTTAGGATGGAGTGAAGTCTTGTTTTTCCCCTTCAAGTTGTGTTGGAATTTTATCATGTCAACCAAAGCTGTACAGCTGTTGCCAAACCTTGCAGGATGTAGTCATACAATGTGATGGCAACAGGCGTCTATATTAATTTCATACATGCAGAATTCTAAGCCCTACCTGCTATATGTGTATCATTAGACTATCTTTTTTTCATACCACCCTTTTTGAAGCTGTAAATGTGCTAGGTGCATGATCTATAGTTTGAAATATGGTGCAGGGTGTTATCAGCCCTTCATCCATGTATTTCACTTTCAACTTTGATCCTCTCCAGCTTGGGAAGAACCCTATTGGCATGGATGGGTCACTGCAGCTGCTAAAGGCGGTCAGAAGCAATGAAGAGTCTGGTATGCACGTGCTGGATCTGACGGTGAGTCTAGCTGCAGTGTGCACCCAAAAAAGGCGGAGAGAAAATGTAGCTTTCTTTGTTGATAGATCTACAGGGGATAGCTTGAGTGATACAAAGAAGTATATGTACACAGTAAGTTAACCTATTTCTACAATAGAGTAGCATGCAGCAGGACTTGGCACAGTATAACAATAACATTGACAAAAGTATCTTTGCATCAGTGGTTTGTGTGTAGTGATGTTCCTTCCTGCATGTCTGCTACATTCTGCAGGATGTGCTGTTGAGTCAGGAGTTCCTGGACCTGTACACTGTTGTCCAACAGGAGCGGCCACACTTCAGTGTAGTGTATGGAGGGGTGGGGCAGGACCTTGGCTGGATGGTGAATGACAAAAAGGTACATGGATCATTATTGGCACACATGTTGGTTGCCAGCTTAGTGAATGGGCTTGACAATATCAATGTGTTGATACATGTAATGAGCTGATACACATTACATGTATTTAACTTAATTGACTTACTAACACAGCACTTGAAGCGAGACCCCATGCAGGTCTTCCAGGACTACATCTACAAGAACCACACACGAGTCATCACTGTCTTCCAGAGTTTCAACCGGGGGGACCGGGATAGAGTCACCAGGGAAGCATTCAAAAAGGGCATTAAGGTAAGAACATGATGGCAAAGTCAGCCAACATGCACTCATGTTTCTTTAGATGTGGAAAAGGCATTTATAAATTTACTTAAACCAAGGACACAGATAAAATCTTCCAGATTTCAGTAGGTGTGTGTGGTTGATCTACACACTGGCCTTATATTATATTCTGTATCTTCTGTATCTGTATCAGTATAGCCAGTATAACCGCCCTTCACAGGCATGCGGCGCGGCGGCAGCTTTGGGTCCTAAAAAATCCTCTTAGGAGACCTAGGACATTTTAGTAGTGGTCCTTGACAAACCCTATGTGTTTCAGACAGCCAAAATCCCGTTGGCGCCTCATGAAATCGAACACATGCTGGACGTGCTGGATTCTGATGGTGACGGCATGATCAGTTATGGGTACGTATCCTACTGCACTAAATCTATTCCCTGAAAAGTTTTAAGACCTTGAAATACTACATAAATATAAAAGGCATTGTGGGCATTTTCATATTAAAGGCCACACCAATTTAATTTCTTGGTTAATGGATTTTTCTAGAAAAATAATGGGTGGGCGGGCGAAAAATAAAAAAATAAATAAAAACAGGCCTAGGCATCCTATTATGGCCCAAAATGGTACGATAGGAGCCATGAAGTCAACACAACAGGCTGGTTCAAAATTTAAACAATGAATTTTGAACTTTTAATGACACCATTGCATTGAAAGATGAAATAACTGTAACAACTAGGATGAAAATGACTGTTTTTAACTGTTCAGGGCAAAATATGAGCATTTTGCAGTTGATTTTGAATTTTTATTTTTATTTGCAAATCAGAAAAAAATGAAGCGGGCGAATCGTTTAACCAAGAAATTAAATTGGTGTGGCCTAAAGGTCATTATTTTTTATAATCTATACTCAGTCTGTCAAATTATTTTCTAAGTATCATAATGATTGTGGTTTTAGGAGAGGTTTTTACACCTGTTGTGATACCCCTTCCCTCCCCCCCCCCAAAAAAAATCAAAGGCCAAGTGACACACAAAGTTGTCAAATCAGTATTTCATTCATATATTTCTTTTTGTTTCCCAGCTAGTATCAAAAGTAAGGTTACATTAGAAGAGGCTGACAGAATTCTAAGTCTAACTTGTTTGAGACTGCAGTGATGTTATGGCTGGCCAGAAGGAATTGTTTAAGAAGAAGAGGGAGGAGGAGTGGAAAAAGTACACAGAGGTGCTCGAGGAGCGCAGGCGTAGAAGACAAGTCAAGGAGAAGTTAGAGGGTGCCATGGATGTGTTAGACAAGGAACCCAGGAGTGCAGAGGCCTGGATCAGGGTAAGTCAGCCTGGACCATATAGAAGCGGGGGTGGGGTGGTGACTTATAGCATATATAAAATAGAACAAAAGGCTACACAAACTTTATCTCATGAAAAACATCCAATGATTTTTCATTACTTGAGCCTCATGTCACATGGAGGTTGAACTCTAAAAGTGAAGCAAATGTTCAATGTTGACTGCTACAGGCCCTCCAGCGCATGAAGCACAAACAGATGACTCCGTCACGATCTAGTACAAGATCTGGATCCCGACTGGGACTAGGGAGATCTGACAGCAGAGCCAGAAGCCCGTCACCGGCAGGAACCACAGATGAGACCAAACAGGTGACCAGGACCAAGACCCCACAGCTGATGAGTGTTGTGGGCAATGTCTGGAAGAAGGCACATCCAAACTAGAAAGGCTGACATCTTTTAGGTTGGGTGTACCAAATGAATGCACTTATTCCCAAAAGTGAATTTCGAGATAAATACTGAGTGACAGGCATTTGAGTAACCTGCAAAGAGTTGGACGCACGAACATTCTCAAGTCATAACCACAAGCTGTCAGATAAAAACGGACATACAAGTACAATGGAGCTAACAGGTGAAGATCATGACATGTCATAGGAAGGGAGAGAACAGTAGGCACACATAGAACTGCTATGAAAAGGTCCACTGCAGTTTTTTAAAAAAAGTATGTAAGAGGCCTAAATCCCAGGCAGATACCCCAAAGATAGCTTTTAAAGGAATTCGTACAAGTAGGGTTTGACTAAGATACTAATATTCTTAGTATACATGTATACAGATATTAAGATTCTTTTCTGGCACAGTATTAGTCGTAAACTATCATATGGAAGATGAAGTGTCTTGAAGTCAGGATGGTTGCTGTTAATGATGGTAACTAATGTTTGATTACCGAATATATACCTTATGTCTTCTATTGTAATATCTTGTAGTAATTGTTGCAAATAAACCATAGTTTAGATGGAGCAATTGGCTGTTGCTGAGCATGTATTACTGAAAATCCATCTACATGTACAGTGTATGTCTTCTCAAGTTAATGTGTTGACAGAATCTGACACACACACACACACACACACACGCATGCTACTGAAAATTTTGGCAAAGGTGATAATTAATGTGCTAAACAAATGACAACATCCATGGTGCATGTTTAATTAGATTAAATTTAATTCGATTTAATTTAAATATAACCAAACACATTTCCTGAAAAACGTAGTGGATACTTCCCCAAGATGAAAAATTATTCTACTTTTAATATTCATTTAGAAGACCATTCTTGCACACTGATAAAATCTGCATCTGTGGTCACAAAAAAAGTGATAAAAATGGAGATAAAATTAACAAACAAACAAGAAAGCTAATTTTCTTATTACTCTAACATACATTGTATTCATTTTTCTCACATTCATTTTTGGTAATTACATTAATTTCTTGCAGTCATCAGTGAAAAGGTCACACATTGGGAAAGATATGATGCAACTTGCATGCAATCTTCACATAAATCTACAAATCACATGCTTCAAGACAACCGAGCAATGACAATAATGAGACATTCCACTCTCTTCTATAAGTATATTACTTCCTGCACTATGCAGTAAATGAGAAAGACCATTTAGATTTTTTTAATCCCTGAATTTCAGCAGACCCACCTCACAATTAAATCTGAGTAAAATTACATCTTGTTTAGAGTACTGAGTATAATAGATATCCTTGTGTTAAATCAGTCCATGGTAAATATCCTGGAGGAGATGTCATCAATGATCCAGTCCATGCCCTGTAGGAGATTCTCCCCAGTCACAGCACTGCAGCCCTGGATCAGCCAGTGGTGTGTGGTGATGCCATCCAACTCCAGCACCTACAGGGGGGAAGAGATATGTTTGCAAGACAGTTTCTACAGGCATACAGAAATACAGCAGGAAGAGACATAACAGCACACACAGCAGGGAACATGTGCACTACAAAAAGGATCAACTTCTATGCATTACCATTATATCAAGTGCTACTCAGCATAATATATACTTGCAGTACCTCTCTGATCTGCTGGGCGGGTAGGGCACCTGGTAGGTCCTGCTTGTTTGCAAACACAAGAAGGGTGGCACCAGCAAGTCTCTGGAAGGAACAAGAGAAGCTAATATAGTAACTGCATGTTAAAACAGGAGAGATGCTCAAATGTACAGCTACTACAGTATCAGGATATTTCCACACTGAATCCTTCTTAACTATTGATTCCATCTGTTATTTTGCTTTTCTAATGTACAGTACCTCTTCTAACAACAGAGCCTGCATCTCTTTTTTGCAGTCATCCAGTCTGCGTTTGTCTGCACTGTCCACCACCCAGATCAGCCCATCTGTGCTCTCATAGTAGTTCCTCCAGTAGGACCGCAGCGACTTCTGACCTCCCACATCCCACACATTCAACTTGAACCTGGAAAGTCAATATGAAAGCATAAACCAGCTTAGCACACTTAAGAGCTACATGTACCATAATCTCCCAATGGTCATTACAGAAAAACTACTTGTTCATCAGTAAATACAGGTTCATTGTACATGTACTACTCTAGGGAAATCCCCCTCGCTCTTTTGGACAATGAAGTTCAACCCTCTCCTGGCTATTGTGTGAGCAACAATAGCCAGGATTCAACCTTGTACTGTGGTGTTCTGAAAGTGGGTGGAAACTGATCAGACTACATACCCTCTGTGCTCTAGGGTTTTGATGTTGAATCCTAATGTTGGTGAAATGGTGTTGATGTCCTCTCCATTAAACTTCTTCAAAATTGTTGTTTTTCCTGCATTATCGAGACCTCTGAGACAATTACATTAAGGACCTTCAAAGCATTGAATGCATTTGACATTAATTAACGGTTAAAAATACAAGACAGGCAGCCCACCCTTACTAGGCCTTTATAGACATACATCTTTTTTGTATTTCTAAAATTTTTAAAGTGATTTCTTACTGTAATTAAGGGGGTTTAAAATGATAAAAATTTCACAATATGATAATGATCATATAAAAACAGCTTGACAAAATATGACAAACTTACCAAACCACTCCCAATCCAGGAACCTGTGTCAATAACGGAAATGTCTTGCACTACTGCTAGGATCATCCTGTCAATAATGCAATGTTTCCAGTTATTGACAGGATGGTGGAAAAAAATCTGTTATTGACAGGGTCATCCAAGTTGCCAGGATCCAACGTTTGTTGGTTTCATCTACATTAGGCCATGCTTGTGTAAACCCAAGGAGGTTAAAAATCTCCTTGGTTAACCCCCCTCCACGCTCTTTCGTTTTTCCCTCGTATGTAAACATGGGCTATCATCTACCGTGATGAACCCCAAAAGGATACAGCATCAGCAGTCGAACTTCCTTCTCCTTCTGCTTCATCTTCTTCAGAATCGTCAGCAAACCCATAGTTTCTGGTCTCCTTACACACGACGATCCAAACTGTGTTTATATTCCTGATTAGTCAGTCACAAATTTGGTCACCGGTCACAATGATTCATTCCAAAATGGCGCTATGCCGCAAAACGTCTAAAAAAGATCTTACGACATACGGCGACCCTTGACCTTTCTATCAACCCAAAATGGCAGGACGGAAGGGGAAGGAGAATGATGCTTGCATCCGCTGGTTTGACGTGTCGGATCCTCAACTACACGAGAAAGGCTACACCATATACAAGGTCACACTGAAGGTGAGGTCTAGACCTGCTGTGTAAGGTCATCGTGTACAAAAAACAATCATTAACATCGGCATTTTACTGCTACTGTGCTGAGATGTTGACTAACAGTCTTGTAAGAAAAATTTGTTATCAACGCCATGTAACGTATTTTTTATAGGCCGACGATAATCCCGTGAATAAAACAATTTTTGCTCTATTGAACATATTATCCTGTCAAATGATATATAAAACCTTTCCTCGCAATATACATATTACAGTTGAAAACCAATCAGAAGCCAAGAAACATCTGTAGCAACCGACAGCCTATTCATGATGATGCAAAGATCAAATCGTTTTGGATCGATTTGGTAGTCAAGACGATAAACGAAGTTCAAGTCAATATGGATTTTGTGTTCATGCTCCAAACTTGCACCAAGGTATATTGTCCTTGCTTGCACACTCAAATCAGCAACATCTTGAATTGGATCTGCATTTCACAGGTATACCGCTAGTAGTGCTCGGTGGTGGTTACATGGTCATGTGGTCAAAAAGTACATATGTTGTCACTGAGCTAACTATGCATAAATTATGTAAGTATAGATCATTAGCATATGGACTGAAATAAGTAGAGATGGCCACCAATCACAATTGATCATTGTACAACCTTAGTTTACCTTACTATCATAATGATGCAGAAAGAAAATAAACAAGAAAATTTACAAACGTTTCTTGGACTCCTTGGTATGAGTTTTCCAAACTCCTGTTTCTCAATGATTTGCCAGCAACCTGACAATAATTTACAGTACAGTATTTCAGTATTGATTTTGTCTAGTATCATAAGTATGTTGCTACTTGTGGTATGACTGAGATGGAAGTGTCAGATTACTCAGATTGCTACTTGTACTCCCCAGCTGTTCAAATGGACTGACCCAAATGTAAGCCCCACATCCACATCCTGCTGTGGAGCATTCCATTCAGTCTGGGGGCATGCATTAAGTTTGCCCTGTGTGTTCCAGGGGTCAGCGGTCCAGCCACAGTTTGTCTGAATGTTAGGAAACGTTGTCAGTTGTGGGGAGGTGAAACAAATATTACTACTTAGGAAACCTTCAGTGTCAAAAGGGCCATCAGTCTGCCTGGAAGACATTTCAAGTGGAATGTCACTTGGAGAGTGATTGGCATTAACCCAAGACCCTGACCCAAGGTTCTAAAACAGTGTGCAATCTCTCCTTTCAGACATTCCCTCGGGGAAAAGCAGATGCAGAGTCAGAGGTGAGTGTTGCAGCAAGTTATGGTTGACAGTCTTTGACAGTCATGTCGCCTTGAAAGTCAGTTTGTCAATATATTCTGCAAAGCCTTTTACACAGGACTGCTCTGCAAAATTCATGAGTTATTCCCTAACTTTGATCCCACTTGTTGTATCAACTGTCTTCAGGTCGTCGTTTGGAGGAGATATAATGACTTTAAGAAGCTGCACAAAGCTCTGTATGCAAGATACAGAAACCTGGCCAGATCTGAGCCCTTCCCAACATTTGCAAAGGCTAAGATATTTGGTGAGTACTTATAGTCATGATCTTGAGTATATTGAATTGTACATATAAACTACAGCAACAATTAGGTTAAGATTATATCTATTTCAAGATTTTAAGTTTGCATGCATTTAAATATCATATGCCTTGAAATTAAATGGCTCTGTAATTGTAAATGAAACATTTTTGAAAATGCTTTTTGTCATAAATCCTTTTGGCTGTTCCCATCCCAGGTAGGTTTGATGAAGCAGTAGTAGAAGAGCGGAGACAGAGTGCGCTCCAGTTGTTAGAGTTTGTAGGGAAGATCCCCTACCTCGCCAACAGCAGCATTTTACAGACATTCTTTGAGGTAAGACATACATCTTTGTTAAAACTAGAAATCAGAGATTTCAGACTTCCCGGTAGTATTTTTTTTAATTATTGGAACGATAGAGGGCATTCTATGATATACTTTAGTTGGGACTTAAGGAACACTTAATCAGTCCAGCTGATCCCCTGACCAGGTGGTATGACCTTCAACCATTTCCTTCAACCCGACTCTGACCTTTTGACCTCCTGTCAATTCATAAACTCATGACTTCATATTCAAAGTCAAGGACCCAGTTGTTACATATATATTATAATATATGGAAGACACAGTTGAAGATGTTCTCCAGCAGAGACCAAAATTGGTGTCAGATGGTCCAGAACACTGAATACATGTACAACTGTGCTTGTTTCTGCCTTACATTTGTACAGGGAGGATTGCAGGTGGATCCAGAGGGAGAGCAGCAGGCCTTGAAAGAAGCTGTCCTGCAGCCTGCTATCATCACATCAGTCCCAGCAGGCATCACACAAGAAACTGAAGAAGACAATAAAGAGTCCCCTCAGCAGGAGTCTGCGGGAAGCAGTGAGCCAAGCTTGGGTATGTCTTCATGTCAAAGATTCAAAATCTTCCAGAATCAGCTATCATGTGCTTCCTGCAGTCCCTTAACTGCTTAAGATGACGGAACTGTTGTTATTTAGGGCGGGAGACTTTTAACTGTGACAATGAAAAAATTAAGGTGGGAAATAACCATTGGAGTTAAGTATGGACTTTGAGTTTTTTCTCTCTAACTTTTGTAACTCCATCCTTACCTGCACTAACCTGATTATGCAGGTGGTACTGTATTTTGATCCCTGCAATAGAACACTGAAGCAAAAGTTGATCTCCCCATGTGCAGGTGGGGTTTGGTTGCACAAGACTGCTGATGACAACATCAGTCTACACTCGGATGACATGACCTGTAGCGATGACGATGCAACCACTTTCACAGACGATTCCATGCCCAACACACCACTGCCATCCCAGGATATGTCTTTCTTCGACCCTCTTAACAAGAAAGGTACATGTACTAATAACAGAATCTCTAGTTCAACAGGTTTAACTTTAAGGACCTGCAAGTTAACAGATAAGCTCATTTTGGACCAATTTTGGTTAATAGATTAGACACAGGCATCCAAAAGTTCCATAGAAAGTGGGTCTGGCTGGTTCCTCAGGTGATATGGAATACACAACTGTTGTATGGACAGAGAGTACTAGTATATAATTTTTTTTTTTTTTTGGACCTCTCAGTGACTGTTATAGAACTGCAGGGGCATTTTTCGTAAAATATTTGAAAGATGATACATGTAGGTGATTGACTTATTCATTATGCAAGTAAGTTTACAATTTGCATACAATGTACTTGGAGGAAAAACTTTAATGTTCCTGCTGCTTTCAAGTAATACTGTAACAGGACCAGCTGGCAAAGTCATTAGGGTGCTGGCCTGGAACTCAGGACAACAAACATGTGGTAGTAGTGGGCTATTGGAAAATGGTTCCCTGTTTCTACTGCTTCCTGTGGTGTATTAGTGAAAGGTTGAACTCTACTTGACTGTACTGTTGTTCCAGATCTGCTGGCCTG